GACCAAATGTCAACCTCCCTCACAAAAGAAATCTCTAGAGGACAAACATAGAGCGTTAACAGTTATTAAAATGGTATTCACAAGCCGATACAAAAAGAAGAAAAAAAGGAAGAAGCAAAAATCTTCCTTAAATATTTTAAAATAAGAAATAAATCGACTAAATCCTCTATATTTACTTTATATTTTTTTATGATTAACATTCTAAATTAATTTTTATCTTAATTAACATATTTTATAATTCATAATTCATAAAAAACCTAAAAATGTAACGATGCATAACGTGCCAGTCACGTGTGTGCGGTAAATTTTGTTAAATGAGATAATACGTGGCATTTAGGTGTAACGTGAAGGCAATACATGACATTTGCGCATTGCATGGTTTTACCAATCAATTTTAAATTTATTTTTATGATCTGTTTCACAACATAAGTTAAACATATTATTTAATATTATTTAAATATGCTTCTTGGCATCAAAAGCAAACCTAACCTCATATTATTTAAGATTTTTTAAGATGTATATAGATGCCTCAATAGTATATTAATTATATTTTAAATAAATTTTAATAAAAAATATAAAAAATAAATATTATTTTTAATATTCATATTATATTGATAATTTTAATTAAATAATTAATAAATTTAAACTTAAATTTTATTTTTTAATATAAATTAATTATAAAAATTATAAATAATATACTCTTAACTTATATAGTTAAGAAACAAAGTTAAGAAAACTCTATTATTTAAAGGTTAAAAGAGAAGATTCAAGCAACATGGTGGGGAAGGGGGTGGAAAGCGATATTTCCATTAGCATCCAAAATTTTGAAGTTGATTGTTAGATCTAGTTGCAAGCAGTGTTTTTACGTGGCTTCAATTTTTCAATAACGTTTGCCACTAGAGCAGCACCTTTATAATTGAAATCTTTTGCTTTAAAATTTTATTTAAGGAAAATATCATTTAAGGAATCCAAAATTTTCTTATAAAATATCAAGTTCTTAAAAGAAATATTATTGATTTTTATATTAAAATTAATATAAATTTTG